ATTAGCAGCAATACTATCAAAACTTCTTATTGTTCTGCCTTTTGGCTTTTCATGCTACGATATCAACCTGAGACATATAACCTGGCGATAGCTTAGTTTCTATGAAAGGTCTGTTAGATTACCAGCAGGCAGCTGCCCAACTAACCTATAGGGTTAGCGGAAGCCCCATGTTGTCTACATAAATGCCTGGCACATTATGGAGGACAGCTTTCTGCGAAATAGGCATGGAGTAGCGATACCACAGATGGCCGTTTAGTAAGGCCAATATGCAGTTCAGGAAATCTGTCGCGCCCTGTGGGAGTTGAGTAATCAGGTTGCATGAGCGCAAGAGCATTGCGACATACTAGGCACGGTGAAATAAGAGACAATCGCTGACTGGTTGGGTGTGTCTAGCCCAGGGTCCAGTGATATCAAGATGGGATCCCTAGCCACCTCGTTGATAGGATTGGAAAAATCTGGTGCTTGAACCATAAGCCCATGGTTGAACAAAAAAGTGAATTTGCCATTGCGCGGATAGCATTATTTCGTTCCTCTTTTTTTCATACAAAGGAACAAAACATAATGGTTTGAGACACGACGTTTCCTTCCGGTCCGTCCCAGCGCCAACAACCGATTCCCCGACAGCACCTCGGCGTCACCCTCGACCGTTCCACCATAACCACATCGCAAAAGTAGAAGGTAGGATTAACGGTAAGATTTCTGGAAACGAGAACGGGCACCTGGACCGCCGAACTTCTTGGGTTCGGCCCGTCTGTTATCGGCAACAAGGAGGGTTCTGTCAAATTGAACGAAAGCCTGCTTGAGCTGGTTCTTGGAGTGCTCGTCAACGAATTTCTGGTAGTAGGCGACTAAGGACTTGGCGATGGCTTGTCTGATGGCGTAGATCTGGGAGGTATGACCACCACCGGTAACGCGGACGCGGATATCGACATTGGCGAACTTATCGAGGCCGACGATGAGGAGGGGTTCGTAGACCTATGTATCCAAAAAAAAGTCCGCGATGTCAGAATCGATATTCATGGTTGTGCGCATGTCCGGGGTGACGCCGTTTCGAAATTGAGACTTTCATCCTTGTGTTTCCCTGCAACGTGCTTCTAATGTTCGGGGCAGTGCGCGTACCTTGAATCTAAGGATTTCTGGTTGGACAAGCGAGATCGGTTGGCCGTTCACTTTGATGAGCCCTTTGCCTTGCTATTTGCATCCCTCAGCACCAATATTCCACAATCCCTTTTCCTAACCAAAATTTCTCTACCAGGTTAAACCGTACCTTGCAGTGGGCAACAGCGGTAGCTAAAAGCGAAGCATTGTCAGTCATTACAAAATTCAACTTTTTCCTTCGAGCCAAGATAATCGCACCTGTCTTCTTCTTGCCGAAGCATTGCACGCTTGGAACAGCAGCCATGGTTGCGGATGAATGGGCGGATGGCTTTCGTCGACGTGCGAGAATCGGGGGTTGTCGAAGGTAAGAAAGTCGTCGTCGCCGTCGCGCTGATGAGCCTCGAATTCGATATTCAAAAGTCCGAGATGGTGGGAACGCTCGCTTAGTGTGCGGCTAGGGTAGCTTATGTAAAATCCACGTGACGCCCGAGAATCTCGATGCTCTCATCAACAACCTCAACAGCGAGCAGGACGACCGTGAAATACGAGTAAAACCAATCAATTGGTGGTTTCTCGGACCTTTACTGTATATCCAATCGTTGTTTTTTCTATGTGTCGATAACGGCCCCAATTCATCATGTCGCAAAGCCTTGGACGAGTATGTGCCGAACAAACAACACCCTAAATTTTTTTCCATACTGACAAGCCCGTCTCATGTCCTCAGACCCGTCTTGCCTACTCCAGAACATGGCATTATATAGACGTGGGCTCCGATCCGCGGAGTCTCGGTCGCGTTGCCTCCTCGATCGCCCTCTTTCTCATGGGAAAGCATAAACCAATTTACGATCCATCGACAGATTGCGGTGACTATGTCGTGGCAGTCGGCTGTCAGAATCTTCATACCACAGGGAAAAAGCGATTCCAGAAATTATACTATTCACATTCGACAAGGCCGGGAAGCCTGAAATCTATGTCAATGGACAAAATGTTTGAGAAGTGGGGCGGTGCGGAAGTGTTGAGGAGGGCGGTTAAGGGGATGCTGCCAAAGAATAGGCTGAGAGAGAAGAGGATGCACAGGTTAAAAGGTATGGTTACTGCTGCTAGGAGTAATCGATGGGGAAATATAATTTGGGAATCGTACTGACTTTTAGCAGCCTTTGAGGGTCTGGCCCATCCATACAAATCAAACATTGTCCAATTTGGCGGAAAGAGCGTATTGGATGAACTGCCCGAAATCAAGAAAGCTTTCCAGCGAACAAGAGAAGCTGTGGCTGCGCAGTGAGGTCGTTTGTATATCAATGCATTATGCGTGGAGTATTTTGGAGCCCAGGGTTCATGTATTATTATCATTTGATTTGTCTATTAGATTCTTGACACATACACTTCTAAACTCTTGTATGATACTCGGGCTAAAGATGTGGCTAAAAAGGTTGTGTACACAGCGCTCCTGCTAAGGCTCTTGAAGAATTCTAAAGCCGTGTCTAATGCTCATTTTATAGCTTCGAATTCGTCGCTCTCGTGTTATTTTCCCGTGAAATGGTGCATTGGATCAAACCATTTGGAGCGGGACTAGGTATATAAACTTCCGCATTGGCCCCTGTGTTCTTTAGACCCTTGTGCCAACTAAGATCTGGTGAGTTATTAGTACAAACAGCATCATCATGAGAACCGTGTTCTGCGATCGTGGACTTGCCTAGTTCAAGATAATGCTTGTTTGGAAGGGAGTATGACACAGATTGCAATAGCGGTTCGCTACTCAAGATCTCACTGGCCATTTTATACATCGTGTTCTGCACACTCGCACTGTCGTCTTGCGCAAATATGTTTAGACTTATCTCGCGCGCCGCAGTAAATGCTTGATCGAACTTGTGACCCGCGGACCTGACATGGTTGAGGTTCACAAACGGGGCCCAGATCCAACTTGCGTCGATTTCCGTGCTTAAAATCCTATCCCATGTTTCCGGAAGCGTTGTATACTCATCACGAATGAAGCCGTGGAACTGTGATCCCGTACTTTTCAAAACCAGCAGACCAGATATTGAGGATTTTATCTTGACGCCCTTGCCATCAACGACGTAGGCCTCCGCGACTCGCACATCTGTGCCATCGCGCAAGAACGCATGCGGGTGTGGCTTTCCGTCAGCGTTCATTCGAGTCCATCGATGAACGACGACACGGACATGGGCGGCATGGATGTGGTTGTAAGTTTCTATGAAATGGGTCCCAACGATGGATGCAAACAGCTCGGGAGGAGTGACAGAATGTTGTTTGGCCAGGAGGTAGATGGTATTTTTCATAGAGTCAGTCGCAACAACCACGCTATTGTCTGCTTTGGTATATCTGGTTTTCTAGTTGTAAGCACATGCATTGCCAGCACAGGGATGAAGACATACGAGCTTTCGATATCGCCTTCGAGCGACACGGCGACCGTCAGTTCTGTGACTTCGTGTGTACCAGATTTGGCATCACGGTGAACTTTGCACACTTTGACATTTTCCTTGCCATAACGTGCGGCGGCTAACTTGGTCGCCATCGCTAAATAACTTGTATATGTCAAGTGTTGAAAAGCCTGGGAGCTGGGGTCGTAGTAAGATGGCTTTGATGGAGCTGTATGGATATGATAACGCCTGACCAGAATCTAATGTGAGTAATAATGGAAGGGTGAGAAGCTGCAGCTTTTATAAGCTGAAAGAAACACAGCTGATGAACCAGGGGAGGCCTCATCCACTCTCACAGCTTAACCTTTGACTGGAACCGAGTCGTCTGGCGCGAACAAGCTGCGCACATTCAAACAGGTTGAACCCACCAACTGCAGCGGAGCGTCGCATGAAGCGGGTTGATCCCCCTTGCCTGCAGTTTGTGCTGGGCCAGGTCTGCGAATGAGAAACGCAGATTCGAGAGCTTTGGTGCTTGACAGCAATCCCCGGGGGTTTGGACTCCATGCTGTGTGACGCTAGGATGGAGGACGGCGCGTGGGAGGCGGAAAGGTCCAGGGGCGAGCAGTGCGGCCGCCGAAGCGCTGTCGGGCAACTCCGATGGCCGTCTTTTGGTGACGGAACAGCTGATGGGCCCGTTTTAGAGTTCTGCCCACAGAGTTACGCGGGCGAAGATTGATGGACTCAAATGTATGTAACAGACAGAGGCAAAGGCGCCCCTTGCCCTTGGACATTGAGACCGAATCTCAACATGAATGATTGCAGATCCTTGAACATAAATTCACTACGTTGCAAAAACATTCATCAAATATCCTACTTGAAATAGACCCAGCTCCAGTGCACCGAGTACGAATCAAGCATCAGGACGTTGTCGTTCCATTTCACCGCACATTTCCGCCCCTTGCTAAGCCCCCCAGTCCACGCGCAGAGAGCACCCAAACGCCAACCGGCTAAGCTAAGGTACAGTACATAGAATCAAGAACGAATTTCCGAATCAAACTACCAAAGATAACTTGCCTGCGAAGATCATGTAAAAATTCGTGCTTGGAAAAAAGGGAAAGGGGTATGCAACGGCGTGTCCAGATCGCAGAATTTGTACATGTTAAAGCTCCTAATCAGAAGCAAGCGACTCTGAGTCGAACTCTGAATCATCATCAAGGACTATTCGCCTCATCACACTTTTGTCGAAAAGATCCAACGCAAAGCGACGGGCGGGAAGTCGGAAATGATGGCTTTCTAGAATGATCAGGGTGTTGCGGAAGAGTTGTGTTTGCCGAAAGTTGTCTGGGTGTTTTAATTTGATCCTATCCGTGACAGAATTAGCAAGACATTCAGAAATAGTACACAATTAGGGACCAGAGCGGCTTACCGTTGTAGATCGGCGGCCGCCCTTTTCGTAAGAACTGTATTTCCCATATCTGCTAGCAAATTCAAGATTTTCTGGTTGATAGGGTCAGAATCAGTCACAGCGGATCTATATCGTTCATCAGACACCCCGTTCGTTTCGGCTTTTGGCCCAACAGAGTTGAAAGGAATCTGGACGTGTCAGCATTCAGTAAAGAGATTCTTAGCTAGAACGATAGACCATACCTTGTATATTCTCTCCAAGTTAACCGGCATACAAGATCCCAACGATTGCCCCTTATAATCCACTGGAGCATCCCAGCCAGCTTCAACCAGCATCTCAAGGCCGTGTCTACTAGCCGAGATGAGTCCAAGAACAAAAAAAGCAGTGCCTCTCATAGTTAGCATAGCTGCTCTTTCCGCAATTTGGACGATGAGGCCAAAAACTGGACTTCCTTCGAAAAACTGGGCACTGAGTTCCATCGAGCCGAGATGCCCAACAGCCCATAGGGCTCCTTTGACCCTCTGTAACACTTCGGGATCCTCCTCCTGAAGATCGTAATCTTGAATTGTAGAGACGAATTCTTCGAATTGACCGGAATCTGCTAACAGCCTGCAACCTTCCTTCGTACGAGCAAGTTCCCGGTAAAAATGTGGCGGCGCCCTGCCACTGTCATGCACATCCACGAGATCCTCGATCACCGAGCTATTTCGGCGAGGCTGGTCAATGTATGCTCGACATAAGGACGCTTCAACCAAGCCGACGTAGGCATCGTTCCTTCCAAGAAACCAATCGTCCATTTCCTGATGGACAAAATCAAGCCCATCGAGATAGTGGTAGCCCACAGATGATGATAAGAAACGGAGAAGTAACGACGCCCCAATCTCGCCCAGATGATCAAGCGAGGGGCGACATTGAACCACATATTCAAGTAGATCCCGCTGATTACAGGCTTCTTCAAGAACCTTCATGGCAATCTGACATACCGCAACGTCGGGATCATAGAGTTGGGAAACTAGAAGCCTGATAATCCACTCCACTGCAGGAGTAAGTGCAACACCGCCTACCACGTACTTGCGCAGAACGCGTGTTGCAAAAGTACGGATATCTTTGGTCCCAATAGTCAGAGCCTTGACTAGCATCAGTTGAAGCTGGCTGTCAACGGTAAAGTCCATATTGGCGAGGATTGCTTGTATAAGATCACTTCGGTCCCTCAGCTCTACTATGTGGTAAAACATATTGAGCATGTGCCATCTTTCCATCATATGAAGTCCATTTGGATCGCTACTCAAGGTGCCTAGCAAGGCAAAATAGCCCCAACTTAGCGTGTCAGTCATCTGAGAACGCGAGAAAACCGGAGAGGAGGAAGTCAGGCCGCTTGTCCGGTCTACTTGGGCCAAGCATTCGGCAATTTGCCTTAATAACTTATTTTCCGCCAAATATTTAGACCCTTCAGGAGTTTGGATCAAAGTCCGCATCAATGCACACCCGGTGCGGACGTATCGTTGATTTGGCTTGGTGTTCCGAATCATTGAGAACCTGTACTTGAATGGTCGATAGAAGCCTACAAGACGCTTCATGAACTTGGATCCTTTGATAGCTTCGTCGAGACGTTTCGGATTGGTGAGCGGTCCCTCGATAATATTGTGAATAAGATCCCATTTCCATTTCATAAAATTGACGGAGTTTAATACATGGGTATCCATGATGGCGGTTCGAAACTGGGCTTCATCCATAGTTGGGCTTAATTTCGGCTTCCCCTGTCCTGCATTGAGAAACGAAGAAGACATTTCCGCATCTCGGTTGTACTTCCCCGGCCCGGATCTCATCCAAGTTGATCGAGTTATGGTGCGATTGATGCTTTCCATCTGGTAAATAGTCGAGGCAGATACTCGATGGATATTAACATCTCTCTCAATCAATAGCGACGGTACGTTATCAGGGAGGACCTGAAGATGGGCGCATATTGACTGTGGCAAGGAACGATAAGCACGCTTTAACACCTCCGCTAGAAGTAAAATCCCCTTTCGTTTTAGAGATATTTCTTCCTCTTCTTCAACCAAAACGGTTAAGGACTAGAATGCGAGTACAGTTAGTATTAGTAAATCGTACTTTATTCAGGGGTTCGTTTATACCTTGATCAAGCCAGCCTCGATGAACATCGCAAGGACTAGGGACGCGAAATGCGCCGTGAGGTCGAATACGCCATCTTCGGGTTCGTAGAATGTGTGGAACTGGTTTGAGTCTTGGTCGGAGCCTCCGGTACTTGCGATCCCACCCCTGCCATATGTCGTCAGCCGGCGACCAGCGAGGAATGATGACGACCAAGAAGGAGGCTTAATCCGCAAAGCATCAAACAGGAGTTCGAGTATCAAGCCCCGCGATTGAGGTTCAGGGTATTCTAATGCTTCCATCAATGACTGCAGAGGCTTGAATTTATTCTGAGCAAGCGTCAACAATCCTGGCCAACTCTTGAGCATCACAGAAATTGCTTTCGCAGACGCTTTAAGCCGGGTACTCCTATCAGCTTCTGACATTGCTTCAGTGAAATTAGAAAAAACCCCATCTAGCTCTGATCCTGATCTAAGGTGCTGTCGCGTGCTCGGTGCGTCTAGGGCGTGGACGAAGCTCGCAGCCAAACTATCGGAAGCTAGAAAGTTGCCGTCGCACAATGCATCGTTTAACACACCAATTCCGCCAGAAGACGAAAGCAAACCAGGGTCTTTAACCAAAATTTCTGCCAGGGTCATGATACAGATGTTCCTCAGGCGATCTTCCTTGTGTTCTGCTAGAGACACTAGAGTGCGGACAACAGCACGCGAGATCTCGTAGACCCCGTCCTTCACGTCTAGAAAGGCCCGAATGAATTTAAGCGCTTGTTCGCGTTCCATGCTTGCTTTGGACTCCTTGACCAGCGAATAGATTACCAGTGCATCTGTATTAAACGACCTGATGATCCGGATGGACTGCCGATCCGCGATCGCATAGCGAGTTAGTCTGTACCCGGCTGCCACGACTTGACGGCTATCGCTCAATAGCATCACCTGAACCCGCAAGCCGAAAACGGACCACTTCAAATCATACTTCAAGGTTGGATGGCGTTTAAAGAGATCCACAAGATTATTCGCTCTCTCAACATAATAGCCTGGTGACATGCCTTCAATCTCCAGTTCTTGCAGAGTCTCGGCAAGGACATAAGTAGGCGACTCTGTTTCGCTGAAATCATCATCGTCATCGTCAAAAGTGTCGCCGGTGGTTTGCGTTGCTCTCGAAGGGGAACGGCCCATCGGCACACCAAATAGACTCGATGGGCGGTTGAAGTCTAAGAATTCGGGAGTGTGCGCTCTCTGTAGCTCCTCCTCGAGCTCTGATTGTAGTTGTGCGATCTTTCGATTTGACGAACTTAGTTCAGACTCTACCCTAAGTCTCTGCTCCTTGGTCTGCTTTAAATTTTTTGTTAGGAGTGCCTCTAGCATATTCTCCGTCCCGTTTCGGATCTTCAGCTCCTTCTCTAGCTTGCTCCGAATGATAGCTTGCCGCTGTTCAGAGGTCGTTGCCTCGTTATCGTCATTTGCGCCATTGCTTCGACTATAGTATGCAGAGTCCGGCTTCGGCGTAGTGCTTCGTGATATGCTTGGAACTCTTAATTCGGAGCTGAAACTCCCGGGTCGAAGGCCGGACGGGGCGAGGGAGACCTGAGCACTGGTAGTACTTGCAACAGACCGAGGAAAGGCGCGTCGCTGAGATCCGGAGGTATCATCGTTCCAGCTCCCATCTGTAGAGCCATCCCCAGCACTAGAAGACGGCCGCCGATCGCTTAGGGCACGATTTTGGGTCGGCGTGGCAGAGGAAGCACGATTGTACGTAGCCGCCATGGGTCTCCATCCAGAGACCCCGGTGTCGCGGTTATCTGGCGGAAGCACTGTGGCGTCGCATTGGGGCTGCCAGCAAACTCAGGATGATAACAAGCTGAATGTATTGCGACTGTAACTGGGGGACGTTTGTCAATCAACGATATGAGAGAAGGGAGAGGTGACGGAATGACTGAGGTGGGCTGTGGCTTGTAGACAATTGATCTGGATAAGGACCGCAGTGCTGGGAAGACGATCCCAAGTGAACGCTGCGAGATACCCCAAACGGATGGAATTGATTTTGCAAAAGCGTTTCGAATGAATTAGATGGACTGATACCCTGGCTCTCTGGGGGGGCGAGATATGCCGTCGAGTTGATGGGTTCGCGATCCCTGTTAACCAGTTCACGTAAATGACCACCCAACGATCCAACTACTCAACAACAATGAATTCATATTTGACTCCCATGGCCAAACCTATTCAATTTCTTCTCTAATACTTTTGACCATAATGATTACAGGCTTGGGTTTGTTTTTTGTGAGTGATATTGGGCCAAAGGGAATATCCACTATCTAATGAGCACCATGAAGCCGGCTTTTGTACAAACCTCAATCACAATCCTGTAGAGGATATTTGATTTTAAACTTGCACGAAGCCAGCCAACTCCTGTGTATGAAAGCAACAGGCAACAGGGGGATTTAACATCAGTCTGTCAACGTGTTTTGCTAGAGCACCGCTGGCCCAAGACAGATCAGACCGAAACATTGCTCAACGTCCCCTGAAGAATCATCAATATCCCAAGATCCATGAATCAACTGAATGACAAGCACGGTGTGTCAACTAGTTAGCCAGCTGCCATAATTGATAGAACTCTTGCTGATACACGTGATCAGGAACACTTGCCTAGGATCTTCAAAGCTGAACAGATTGAATAGCCAACATGCTTCAGCTGGCTCTGCAGCACAGCTTGTTCCTGGAAGGCTGACATTCTTATCACTATTGGTCTCCTCTATGCTGTGATTGTGCGGGTTGCATTCTTAGTGTCTTCTCATTTCAACCACCATGACAGAGAGCCAGGATTTGAACGGGGGTTTGTCCGGAAAAGGTCTCAGGGAAATCATTCGCTTGATCCAATGCAAGCATTGCTCTCGTCTGCTGCAGTCTCCTGTGAGATTGCCGTGCCAGGAGACCATTTGCCAGGGATGTCTACCTTCATCTCACCCAAGGACACATATCACCTATTCCATGGATAAAGAACGGGAACAAGGATTCTACTGCACATTGAAGAAAGCCGACGGTGCAGCTTCGGATGCAGCCGAGTGTGGAGTGGAGCATGCACTGGCTGACTGTGGTCTAGTTGTGGCCTTGGACCAAGTGATGGAGGTCTTTGCCGGTAGAATGAATAAATTGTTCCTATCTAATGAAGCTCCAACCAGTGAGATTCCCTTTACCGTCGAAACCGTCGACTCTACAAATCTTTTGCTAAGGCTCGATGACCCAACCCTCCCTTTAACTGCGGCCTATGGCAGCGCGCTTGTCGCCTTATACAGGCTTGCGGAACATGGCAAGTTGCCGTTTGAAGCTGAGGTTACCTACGAAACCAAACTAGCTATGTTGGATAAGCTAGATGTGGAGGTTTTTGATGATCTGAGACAAGCTTTTAATAATGAGTTGGATTGTCAGATCTGCATGGCCCTCATGGTTGACCCTTGCACGACGCCATGCGGCCACAGCTTTTGTCGCCTGTGCCTAGGACGAGTATTAAATCATGCAGACCTGTGCCCTATCTGTCGCAGAACATTATCAGGCCATTTGCCTTCCAGCCCGGAAAACATACGCCTTGGTAGGCTAATCGCGGCTTTCTTCCCCTCCCGATTAGCGGAACGGAGAGCAACCATAAAGGAAGATGGAAGCGAAGAAATCGACGAAGTTCAAGTGCCTCTCTTCGTCTGCACGGTTTCCTACCCTTCCGTGCCGACGTTTCTCTTCGTTTTCGAACCTCAATACGAATTGATGATACGACGTGTCATGACAAGAAACCGTCGCAGGTTCGGCATGGTAATGCCAAATAGAACGCCGTTGGATCCAGAAGCCACTGGGAACCGCGCACAGTTCTCGGAATATGGAACATTACTTGAAATTGACAGACTGCACCCGCTTGGAGGAGGAAAATCCATAGTTCGCGCAACCGGTCAATATAGGTTTAAAGTCCTAGAAAGCACCATGGTTGATGGGTACGCTGTTGGAAAAATAGAGCGCGTCGAGGATATTTCTCTTACAGAAGAAGAAAGACGTGAGGCATCCGAGTTGCGGCGGTCAGTTCAGGCAGCAGACGTTACAAGTGACGAGTTTGACAGACTTTCTACTCACCGTCTCTTCCAAATTGGAGTTACGTATCTTGCCAAATGCCGGGCAAATAATGCTAGTTGGCTTGATAGTCAAATTTACAGATTATACGGGCCACCGCCGCCAGACCCGCGAACCTTTTCGTACTGGTTCGCTACCGTGCTCCCGAGACCGGTGGAGGACCGGTATGCTCTGCTTCCGATCACAAGCACTCGAGAACGATTGAAGCTTGTTGCGAGATGGATTAAAAAACTTGAAAGCGGAGAATGGTAAGATATCTTCTTTCGGCTCATTCAAATCCACTTAAGACGATACGCATGTACTGTACATACATCTAGCGTATCCGGTGTGCTTAACCAACTGACCTCATGCTAACAAGTGTACACCAGGGTGCTAGAATCCCCCTTCACTATTCCTCGTGCGGACCTTTTTCTAGCCGCTGTCCGACCTGTCTCTTCGTCCGTCCTGAAGACCTTGCGAGCCGTTTTGGGCATTCTCTTCCTCCCTCTTTTGATGCTGTCCATTTACAATTTCGCCACAGGAGGTTCCGACAGTGAGCCCTCTTCCACTAACCTATCGCTGTCTATCCTGCCATTTTCATTCTCGTTCGCGCGCACCTACCATGGTTCATCCTCATCAGCCAGCCGGGCTAGAGAACAAGGCAACACGTTAGTTCGGCATAGAATTGACCCGACCGTTGGCTTTGTCCATCCCGATTATATAGAGCGGGAAAATGTCTCCGCCAAGATCGTTTTAGGAGGCATATTTATCGTGTGCATTGCTAGGGTTGTCCGTAGCGTTTTGGAGGTGGTGAAATTCCAAACAGATCGGGCGGAGAGAGTGCGGAGACGTGAGGGAGAATTGGCAGCATAGTGTTTGTAAGCTTTACAGCGATGAGGTGTGTGAGCAACCTGACGTCGGCCAACCGGTATGTGAAATTGAACAGCCGATGGGGGAGGATCGACTCGATGCAAAGTGGACGATACTGAGGCTTGTAACTAAACAGAAGGATGAGAAGGCTCAATGGCTTTTGGTGTCAGTTATCACATCGAGATGCCACTTATGGACCTCGAGATTTCAGTCACAGTAGCAGAATCAGAATAAATGGTTCTTTTTATTTTAGAATCTGTCTCCTAGGGTTCCATGTCACTGTAAGTGCTAATAATAAAGTGTGATGAAGTAACGCGCATAAAATCAACAAAAAATGTCGCCGATTCTCTAATAAATTGAATTCTGGGAACGCCATGAGGAAAATCAAGATCATGTAGTGGGAAATAGCTGAAGTTAATAGACTTGGAAATTAAGAGACGAAATCCATTTTGGAACCAAGCCAGGGTCATCGTGCAACTTAGAAAACCGAACTAATGAGCAAGGACAATCGTTACAAGAGCTCTTCATCGCCGTCGGCATCAATATCATCTTTGAGCACTTCATCATCAGGAACCGGTGGAGACGGCATTCGTTTTGCAAACTTAGAATCAACTTGCGCTCTGTGCGTCGCTCTTTTATACACCTCATCTGGGTTTGGATCCCGTAAAGTAATTTGCATTTGATGCAATTGGTCCTGTTTTGCCTTTACTCGTGTAGGAGCCAATCCAGCTTTAGCAATCGTACGGGCACGTTCAGGCTTAAGGCGAGCCTTGCCTAGGATAGGATAGTAGTATGCTGCTTTCCTCGTCAGACGGGCTCCTTGGCTTGCTTGCGCCGGATCGAAAAGGACAACTGCAATATCTTTGTATTTCTGGTCCGTGTTGAGAACTTGTGTACTCGTTGCATATGTGCGGATACGGTCGTATCGATGGCATTTGCTTCCATCAGATCCTTCATGGGTGTAGTACTTCGAGTCATCTCTATTAGGGTTCGAAAAGTTCAAACTACTCTTTATATCGTTCACCATGCTCGCCTTTTCAGCCAGGAAAAGATCATAGTCCCAGGGTATCGGTCCAGGATCAGGGTAACGACTAGGATTAGCTTTGTGTAAGGCGGTTTTTGAAGCGTGCTCCTGGCAAACTCGGTCTTCTGGCTCAGACGGAAGTAAAATACCAACATCCATACGGTCGTCACGTTTTCCTTTGAGGGCTTGAACAGGCGCCTTATCGAACTTGACTTGCAAGAACCCACCAGGGTCTGGGAATCCTTCGAGGTCTGGGACAACCGGATAAAGGCCGACAGGCTTCAGATTAGGGTTATCTGGGTGAACGGGGTTCGCCCAGGCGTCGAGTTCGGCATCAGTGGCAGGCAAACCCTTGATCTGTTCTTTCGTATCTTCTCCCGTATGTTTGCTTTCTGGATAGGCGATGTCAAACCCTTTGACAATATACTTTTTGATATGCGATGGGTCATCACGGGATGGCTTCGGTTTCTGAATTTTGGGCTTGAGGCCTCCTGGTGCGACCTTTGAATCCGTGCTGCGGCCAGCTCCTCCAGTGGCAATGTATTGAGTCCGGCGAAGAAAGCTTACGTTCGCATTCCTTGGAGCAGGGTTCCTCAACTGGTCGGGGGTCATCAGTAGAGGCAGATCGGCGGGGTCGATAGGAGGAGGGTTCTCTGGAGCCATGATAGCTAATGGAGCAAGAGAAGTTAGCTTTTTTTAGACCAAACATACTACTCAAGTATCATACCACTTTCGTCGCCCAGGTGTAAACCTGGAATTCCGATGAGATCAATTGGCATCCCCCCCTCAGCGTCAACATCAATATTGGGCTCCTCACGTCGCACCATATTCGCTACAAATCCAGGGCTGAGAAAATGCTCTAGGCCCTCGTGAGGGACCTCGAGGAATTTGGGTGGCATTTCGGGGACAGGCAGGTCGTTGCGATAACGGAGCGACGTAATATATTCCTGATGATAGCCCCCCGATGGGGCACCACTCTTCAATTTCGACATCTTCGGATTCAAAGGCGTAACCGATCTATAAAGAGGAAACTGGCGGTTGGCGCAATTGAGCTCGAGCTCTCAGAGCTGACCACCAGATGGTTGAAAAGCCGAGGGACAGGTGGGCGCGAGGGCTTTCAGAGCCCGTACGGAAATAAAGACCAAAATCGATAAGCAAATGATTTAACCGCAGGCTGTAGATTTGAGGACACTGAGACTCAAATAAGAATGCAGTGCAAGTGTCAATAGCGACAGATTTTTGAGCTCTTTCACTCAGGTCGCCGTTCGCAACCAAAGCTGTGGTCCATTTCTGCTGCTTGATACCGCTTTGGATGACATACTTTCGACTATTCCTGAAGCGGATTAGCGCCGTAATCGGAGGCAGCCGGAAATATATTTCTCCTTGGCAGTTGATCACATGACCGATTTTGCGGTCTGTCTCCATCCACCAATCAAATGGTGAATCTCAGGAACCGCAGAACCAGAGTACGCACTGTGTATATTGAGGCCTACCAGTAGAGTAAGGTCGCGCTCTGCAAAAAAACCGACGTCCTAAAACATCAATACCAAACAAGTCCTTGACAGCATTTAAGAAAGCCATCACCAGTTCCACATGCATTTATACGTCATTATTCGACTGCCAAGGCGGTCATATTCTAACCTGCCAATCCAACTATCATTTGTCGCATCGAGCTTTCCAAAGACGCTGGCTCCTTTCCACGCAACGACTTGGGGATCAAGCTCTCGTGGTGGAGCTCCAACGAGCACTGAATTCGAATGATCCGGATATTTGGTCTGTAGCCTTTCTTCCAGAAATGCATGAAATCCAGAGATGAGGCTTCCGCCTCCGATTACTAGGATCCCTCCTAGAAAGTCCGTAAACCGTCGGTTATCAAGCCTTGCCGCATGCGTGATAGACGTAAATATGGCATCATCAAGAGGGAAAACAGGTAGAATGTCGTCCCGTTCCTCAACCGTGGGACGTCGGCCAGAATTCGTTTCAACCGTGCCTTGCCCTGGAGGCAAAGGCGTCGACCTTCCACCCTGAGGAGTTGCTGTGATTTCTGGGACCGGGGACGCCGCTGCCGAGGAGCGTGGAGTTGCTTCAAGATCCTGAAGGCGATTTAGAGGGTTGCTGTGTTGGAATCGGCTAGGTGTGGATTGAACGTCCGCGAGAGTGCTGGGATTCCCATTCACTACAAGGCTGCCATTGGTAGACAGTGGAGCAATTGCTGTGAGGATCGCGGTTTGAGCTGCGGAAACAGGATCGTTTGGCTGTCCATCGTAAAGGTCACAAGTCCGACCAATGAGCTTTCTTCTTCCTTTCAATTTATCAGACAGATCAAAAATTTCCGGCTCAAACCAACCCATTGGCGCTAATATAACTTCATCGTAAGCCTTGAACGTATATTTACGTGTATCCTGGCCGGAAGCGCGGAGATGGAAATCAAATACTTGAACTGAAACGTTTGTTTCATTCAAAGTACAAACATTCCTTTTGAGCTCTTCAGCAAGCAAGAAATCGTATCGGCGATTCAGATTAATTTCGTCATATGGGAAATGGTCGAAGAGCATCATTTTGATAAAGGTTTCCGTGACTTCCGCTCCACCGTATTTGAGATTAACACGGGAGTTTTCGATGCACATTCCTTCATCTACGCAGCAGATAGAGGTTTTCTGTGCGCCGATATCGACGACACACGCCGCTGTGTATCCCGCGCCGAACGTCCCAGCCAGGCTCTCCTGCACGAAACATACTCGACCAAAACCAAATTCGCGCATCAGCATGTCGAGGATCTGCGTGACATACGATTTCTCATAAAGATCTGGAATAACGAAAACGCATGAGTATTGGCCCCAGTCCTTTTTGCGCGTTAATTTTAAGTGTGATTTAATCGCATCTTCCAAGATAAGCGATATATCAAGGAATAGCATATTTTTGTTATCATAGTCTTTTTCATTGCACCAGCCATTTCGGATCGGCCAAAATAGTTTGTATCTTGGGTTGGAATAGTCAGGGATTCGCAAGGCCGCTTCTCCAATAACGTGTTCCGGGGCATCTTTTGGTTCAACCACAGTCCATTCGACTCGCATGGGGTCGTTATGTTCTGAGATCGTCTCCGGAGAAGTCCTTCGGTTATAGTTGGCAACCATTTCCTTCGAGTTCGGAAGCGTTCTCCTCTTATTGGCTCGCATATGTGTTCTCAATTCTGTACACATCTTTAAGTATCTCGAAGCGAACTGCAAAAGGAGTTGTTAGCTAGACTAAACTCTGAACCGATATTGATAGTGCGTACTTCAGGACCAAACATCTTTTCAGGCTCCATACACTGGCCATCATCCAATTTCAACCGTTTTGGCCTTGGCTCTCCGCCATCCTGTTCTGCTTCGTTCTCCTCTGCTCTACGTGCTATCACCATTGGGACTGTTTTTGGCAATGCGTCGCTCGCGAGCCCGATTCGCAGGTTCTGACTTCCGACATGGATCACAATCGTTTTCGACCCTACTAGTTCCTGGGCCTTCTCTCCGCTGGCATCTACCATTGTCGTATCTCCGTCCGCGTCAGCTTCTGACTCAGGGAGCGGCACTTCATTCTTGGTCGCGAGGGCTCTATCCCGGTCTTTTGCATTTTTCGCCATACGGTCTCGAGCAGCTTCATTTTGTAAGCGGTATGCGAGGATCTGATCGTCCCGTTTGAGATATTCCCTACCAAACGAGCGGAAGTGTCAGCAGAAGTCCTCCACTAAATATACCAGAGAAACATGATTGCTACGCTCCCGGTATGCTGAGTAGACCTTACGTATAATAATTCTTTTGGTTAATTGCAGCGACTTGCGGCCAGCTGGTAAGCTCCATGTTATTATCGGTCCGTTCCAGGCCTAGAATAACAATAGTCAGTTTCGATTTCATGGTCTTTTTTTATACGAAATCTCAAACTAACCTTCCTCCCTTAAGAGGGCCTTTCCAGACTTTTTTCCCACCATGATGGAGGACAAGTAAACTGGCTTATTGCACAAGAATAGATGAGATCAAAAGCCTTGAGCAACGGCACAGGATTTCACGCTGAGCTTCTTGGAGAGCCTGCGAGAATGTTGTGAAATCTCACAGATGATTCATTTGGCATGAGAAGTTCAATGGGTGCATGGTGAGCGGATGTGAGGTTAATGAAGTCCTCTGCCGACTGTGAGAGACAAGTCAGTTACCGGCACAAAGCCGCTCTTCCTTTGGTGGATCGTCTTGATTGGCGCGACATCAGCCTAGAAGCTTTGGTCCAGCTTCCTTGCAAAGTATCACCCAACTTCGAAAAAAGACAGCAACTATGGAGTAACAACCCCGTACGCATAGTTCCAAACCAATATCTATTCTATTCAGCTCCCTGCTATTTCATCAAGGCGACTTTGGCGTTTTCTTTTCTTATAGTAATTTTTAGTAAGGCATCAACTACATCTCACCAAGCGTTCCCCCTCTCACATGCGCCGCTAATGCCAGTTCCCCAGGAATCACAGTCATTTTCCTACGGAGCGTAATCCTAAATACCCGGAGATTCTAACGGGCCAAACCGATAATATCATTTCCGACTTCTTCTTGGAGCTTCCACAGTTACGGAATCTGGCCCAGCGCCCTACCACATATAGATCCTCGTTGAAGAGCGTACGATACCCCGTTTGGTCATCAAAAGATGGGCGGGTCACTATCCAGACTCTTGTCCTTTGGCTGGTGGGCAAAGAAGGAGATCCGCATTTTAATCCTAGGCCTGGTATGATTGATGCCTTGTTTCCCGAGAAGCTCAGGGAGCCGTGCTGCATGGATCACGATAGCTAACAAAGAAGCTAGGACAACGCTGGGAAAACCACCCTCCTTTATCGCCTAAAGGTAAACAAAAGCATTCTTGGAAACGGAGGTAGTTGCAGTATTAATCGGGTTACCGGAGCCAGATCGGTGAAGTCGTCACTACGATACCGACGATTGGATTCAATGTCGAATCTGTCACATATAAGAATCTTAACTTGAACGTCTGGGTATGTTCTTCGACTTTCCGCATTTCGTACGCTTTACACCCTGCATCGCCTCTTTTAGCCGGTATAGGGGGAGCTTCGTCTCGCTTACAGGATTTTGCACAGGATCTCGGTGGTCAAACGTCGATACGACCCTATTGGCGATGTTACTACGCAAACACCGCCGCAGTTATATTTGTTATCGACTCCACAGATATCGAACGACTTGGTACGGCATCGGATGAGCTAGCGGCAATGCTAAATGAAGAAGAACTCCGTGACGCGGCGCTTTTAGTTTTCGCGAACAAGCAGGATCAGCCCGGTGCAAAGGGTGCTGGGGAGATTTCTGAAGCGTTGAAGTTAGGTGAGCTGAGGGACCGGAATTGGAGTATAGTTGCCTGTTCCGCGATCGATGGCAAAGGTATTGATGAAGGTATGGATTGGCTGGTGGTAAGTATATGCGCGCCGATATCCAAATCTCCGGCTCAAAGGCTAATTTTCTGCAGCAAACGGTGCAGTCGGAAAATTCATGAATATTTTTTACTCAATTTCTCTCTTGACAACTATCTCATCACGCCACTGTGTCCTTTTTAGGTCGATATTTCAAACAATTCCCTTGCATTACCAAAGGCGCTCTGCTTTTCTTTTCCAGCCCAAGTCACGATACACAATATCCTATATATCAAAAAAATTGATAGCAATAAGTGGATTTCAAAGGACGTGTGAAGATAGATATCCGGAGCTTAGGTGAAGAAAATTCTGTCATTAACTTTACTCAAAACTCTTAAGGTGCACCTATTTGTTGGGCATTGAAAGAGCGTTCGACAGCGTTGAAGAATTGGATCGAAACCTGGTAAGTGAGGGATGCCCAGCCCATTGTAACTGAGCATTAGAAAACTCCCTGGGTATTTGCGGTTCCAAATCCGTCTTGTAGGAGCGGCCATGGCTGTTTCGATAGTGTAACTGGACAGTAGTTTCCTCGGCAGCATATAGTATATCCATTGCAATATCCCACAATTAGCCTCATCATGGAACCCTGATCCAACCAATCTACTCCGTATTAGTGGTGGAACTAAGTAGCATCCAGACTTGTTCCCGTTGATACATACCTACCAAAGTACAGCACATTTGGATCCTCATCCTGCATCTTTTTTCGTAACGGGCCAAGGCTAAGAGTTGTCACGTTGTTCACAGCCGTATTTCTTCGACGGTTCTCACAATTTCTCAAACACCGCCAGCCGGTTGATTTAAAAAATGAGATTGCGGAGCCCAAGCCCAACCCGCCGCCCAGCCGACGGCTCGCTCTCCGTCCTCGTGACGCTAAGTCTAGGCAGTTGCATATAGGAAGACGTCGGGAGCGCCGAGCATACTTGAAGTCTACACTGACGAGCTATCCGCCGCACCATCCAACCTCCGGAGGAAGCGGATGGGTGCGGAGAGTGCAAGCCAGAAGTAGATGTTCACCACGTACCCGTTCTCAGCTACCTGCCTCGCTGGATGACCGTATATGGTTAGCACGTGTCGGAGTAAGGCCACAATGCTTTCCGCTACGCAGCCTACGATGGTCAACCCGAGGGTTGACGCTCCGTAGACTGCAGGAAATGCCAATGCGCGAGCCCAAGACGACTTCACCAGAGCATACACGGTCCAAGCACTCGTAATGGGCAAAGAGAGCAGGCCACTCGAACAAAGGAACACAGCCAGGACAAGTAACCGGGGCATTGCATGCGACCGGGACGAGGAAATAAGAGATACACTATAAGAACCCATGCCCGCTATTAGGAGCCGTGAGAGGAAAAAGAGAAAAGAGCAAGGGGTGGTCTGGGGTCTTTATCAAACGACTACAAGCCGCTCTTTCCTCCTACCAACCGTCAGGTATTGCTACCTGGAAGCAGGTAGAACGGGTGAACTACAATACACGGTGCTGATGGCAGCTGCCGCTTGCAGTTCGGAGGATCCTGGACATTCCAATATTCAATTAAAGAGGCTCGCTTTCTGCGAGATGGAATATTAAGGCAAAGTATCAAGGCAAGAATAGCGACAGATCAAAAGGGAAGGAGACGCTTTTTTTTTGCCCCGGGTTTACCATACCTGTTAGAACCGGACCATTTTTCCAAAGTCATGCAAAGATTGAACATTGCCGCAGCGTGAACCACAATCACTGGCGAGCGGTATTTCTGGTTGCCACGTTTAAACAGGCGTAACAGAAGCCACCCGATAAAGATCACGAGTTCTGCAACGCAGCTGAGCACGAAAATGGAAGCCCAGAGGACAGCCCAAATCTCAAGACCGCCATGAACGAGGTTCAATGTTGAGAGGGTAACTTCAGCACCCATAATCAAGACTGCTAGCAGTACTAGCAAGCCAGTCACGGCGGTGAGCAAGAAACCCCAGAATGCCCCGCCTAGAAAGAAACAAGAGAGAGTGAGAGTGAGTATTTTGATGTATTTCCAGGGCCTTGGCCTGTCAGGTAGCGAGGGGGTGATTCTAATGATAACTTGTATCAGCATACTAGGTGACTGCAAGCTCATCCTCGACGAATACCTGTCCGTTTTGGAAACCATTGTGGGGTTTTGGATCGACGTAACGGAAAGCCTAGAGTTGGGATTGAGACATCTAGGGGTGACGTGCAGGGTTGCTGGACGAGCAGCAGAGGATATAGGCAAGCAGCGGGTATAAACTACCTATCGGTTGAGCCGGGTAGTAATTGTAACTATTACTCAGCAGGACTATCCAAGAGAGTACAGCTCACAACTCGCGTCATGACAGCACATAGAACCATGGTATAATATGTTGAGCTACCCGTTATCAACGGAGGTAGTCAAGGAAGGAATGAGGCTGGTTTCTAGCAAGCAACAACGCGCTGCTTGCATCTGAAGCTGTAACTTATTTCTAGGATGAGCGTGATGGGCTTTCAACGTCCCTTTGGGATATTAGCTGATTCGCCAGATAACGGGGTTGCGGATATCATGAAGTCGAGGCTTTCGACGAGATCCCCATCCAGCCCGCGATAAGATTAGTTGAGGGCAGCAAACTCCATCCTTCGTGTCACCCCAGATGCTTCTCTGCCAGCAGGCTTCTGTTCACAAGAGCAAGAAATCAAACACTCAACAGAATCTCCCGGATGGTTCTTCGCTCCCCAATCGTGACGCGTCGATTAACGCGACAAAAGCGTTCCCGCGGCTTCGACGGTTGTTCCAGAACCAGCCGGACCCCGATTAGTCAGTATGCATGCCAAGCATCTCGTTGCATGAAAAGGGAAAGCGCGGTGCGACGGACGATCTTGCCCCGATCAGAGTTGGCCAGCTGGACCCAATGAGCACGCGTTATTCTGCCGCCAGGAGTGAAGCCGGCGGTCTGACGATTTTGCCTCCTTTGATTGGTCACCAATTGCCAGAAAAGCGGAGAACCGGGAGCCAGCTGCTGTTCTCGGCAAGCACTGACCTTGATAGCCGGCCGTTCGGCTCTGGAGCTCTGGAGCTGCGCAACAAAAGGCGAGGTTGTCCAGGGCGAGCATTATATTTATCTTCCGTCTGGGCTGTATATCTCAAGGGAACGGGGATCTCCAGACCCGAGCAGTCACGGACAAGAAACCGCGAGGTGATGTGTCACTTCCGTCACAGGGCATTTGACACGTATCCTGCAGCAGGATGTTGCTCAACCTCGAAAGGTCCTCGCGGTTGAACTGCAGCCACAGCTCTCTGCGATTAGTTACGTCTCCCCGCACGCCTGCTGCCCCACTTACCCCCAACCGTCGAGCAGCAACTGCGGAGGATGGCTTGCGCCAGCTTAAATATCAATCCATCCCCCTCTTCCGCCCTTCTCCCGTAAAACTTTGACGCTCTCTCTCTCTCTCTCTGCCCTCGTTTGAAACTATCATCCATCACTAGTCGTTGTAAAGTCTAGCCTTCCGTGATCCGGGATCCTTAACACCGTCAAAATGGGTGAGGACAAGACCAAGCCTGGTAAGTAAACCCGCTTCCTCAATCTCCAGTCCCAGCAGCGACTCATGCTCCTCATGTAGATACCTACCGTTACGATGAGGTTCCGGTCTATACCACATCACAGGGCTGTCCAGTGAGTTTGATCAGCTTGCAAATATGTACCCTAGATAGGGGTATTAACTGCTGCCATTTAGGTTATGGACCCCGAAGCCGCCCAACGGGTTGGCAAGAATGGCCCTCTGCTGCTCCAGGATTTCCATCTCATTGACCTGCTTGCCCATTTCGACCGGGAGAGAATCCCAGAACGTGTGGTCCATGCCAAAGGCGCTGGAGCATACGGCGAATTCGAGGTCACTGATGACATTAGCGACATTGTGAGTTCCTTGCTTGAATTAAATAAGCAGACGGACGTGCTAATGTCGCGGATAGACCACTGTCGACATGTTGAGGGGCGTAGGGAAGAAAACCAAACTTATGACTCGCTTCTCAACCGTCGGGGGAGAGAAAGGCTCTGCTGACAGCGCCCGGGACCCCCGTGGTTTCGCCGTCAAATTTTACACCGAGGAAGGGAACTGGGACTGGGTGTTCAACAACACGCCTGTTTTCTTCCTACGTGACCCTGCTAAATTCCCACTTTTCATCCACACCCAGAAAAGAAACCCCCAAACGAACCTGAAGGACGCAACCATGTTCTGGGACTACCTGTCGACGCATCAGGAAGCGATCCATCAAGTTATGCATCTATTCAGTGACAGGGGCACTCCTTACTCGTACCGCCATATGAACGGCTACTCCGGCCACACTTATAAATGGGTTAAGCCCGATGGCACCTTTAACTATGTCCAAATCCATATGAAGACCGACCAGGGAAGCAAGACCTTCAATAATGAGGATGCACAAAAATTGACTGCGGAAAACCCTGATTGGCACACGGAAGATCTATTCAATGCCATCGAGAAGGGCGAATGTCCATCCTGGACCTGCTATGTCCAGGTGTTGAGCCCCGAGCAGGCCGAGAAGTTCCGTTGGAACGTTTTCGACTTGACCAAAGTCTGGCCTCAGGGCGAAGTTCCACTCCGACGCTTTGGTCGCTTGACTCTGAATAAGAATCCACAAAATTATTTCGCCGAAATCGAACAAGCTGCGTTCTCCCCGTCGCACTTAGTCCCCGGTGTCGAACCCTCCGCAGACCCTGTTTTGCAATCTCGTCTGTTCTCCTACCCAGATACTCACCGTCATCGCCTGGGCACCAACTACCAGCAAATCCCCGTAAATTGCCCACTCCGCGCCTTCAGTCCTTACCAACGCGATGGTGCCATGGTTGTCAATGGAAATTATGGCGCAAATCCAAACTACCCTTCTACCTTCCGTCGCTTACAGCATAGCCCAGTCAAGGCAAGCCAGGAGCATGAGAAGTGGGCGGGTGCAGTCCTCGCTGAGCAGATCCCCGTTACCGATGAAGACTATGTGCAGGCCGACGGGCTCTGGAAGGTGCTCGGCCGCCAGCCTGGCCAACAGGATAACTTTGTTCACAACGTCTCTGTACATCTGTGCAATGCACATGAAACCGTTCGTAAGCGCACTTATGGCATGTTCAGCCGCGTAAATCCAGACCTGGGTGCTCGCATCGAGAAGGCCACAGAGCCTTTGGTCACAAGACCAAAACCACAATCACACCTTTAAGAGACTAGATGTTGCACCAATGTTGCTTCCTGCCAGTGACATGAAGTCCGGGCTTTTTCTTTGACTTGTCCCTTCACAGCCCTGTTTGATGCACATGATGGCAGAATCCCCAATATTGATTTCTCAATTAGTCCCATAGTTTTACCAAAAGAATGACAAATATGATACACTTTGCAGTCGCATCTTGTTTATATGCGGTCGCACCTGGTTGCTGATCAAAAAGGCTAGTTGATGTTGAACTTTATACCGCTCCAGCGTCACAGAGCCTATATTGAAAGCTGAACACAAATCTAATGTGAACAGCCATGGTTATACGACTACTACTTGAGTGTTAGGCTGTCAAACGTGATTATCGAGTGTTTGATCTATGCCAAAGATACACCGAGCCAGAAGCTATTTTTACACTGCGGCAGCTCTTCTTTTGTTGATCCTGTTAGCCGCCTCTCCAAATTAGTATCTAATAATACAGCAGTCTTGTCGGTGGGAATTAGTACTGGTCTCATCCACCTGATCTAGCAAATAGAGACCAAAAAGAGTGAATATTGGTTCGATTTTGGCCAATAATGCCTCCAATATCACCCAAATAAGGCACTGAGCACTGAAAATGGCACAGTTCTAAGTTTGGTTGGCGGCGCATATCTCATCATTGGGTAAAGCCATACCGGCGCTGCCCAAACCATGAAGGCTGCCGTCCAGATATAACCCAGAGACCTAGACGTCCATGATTTCGGGCCATGGTGGAACTGTTCATCCTTTGAACGGTGCACAAGCAATACCACGTCTTCGAACATGATACCAAGCGCTTGAGTTGCAAAAAAACTCAGGGCTCCTGATTCGCGGAAAGGGATTCCCAGCGCGTTGTCCGTCATAATGTGCAGCAGGCCAGATACTACGAAAACCGTCATTACACGAGCGTATCGGGCCAAAATCTTGTTCGGTTTGGGAATGTGCAACACTTTGTATGCGATGAATTCCGAGTAGCATACGAAAGATCGGCGGAAGTATTGGTGCCATGCCACGCTGTACGACGATTAGCAAACGTATGTCTAACAGGGGCCCCTTGCCCAGGGTGGTGATGTGGGGGAGCGTTCTGCCATACCTCCAGAACTGTCTGATAGACCAGGCATCCGAAATATGACCGAAGAGTGTCGGCCATTCTTCTGGCTCGTTGAGGCCCAATCCCACCATCACGGCAGCCGGGAGGCTACTCATAAGTGTGATCATTGAAAAAGCAGTCAGGCCAAACCCCATCACCGCCCCGGTCCGAAAACCAAGCTCTTCTAGCGTTATGTGGTTTGTTCTGCGAAAGATATACTGCTTGTCCACAGAAAAGAACGACGGATCGACCCCCGTCTGCATTACCGGCAACCCAAGAAGATCCATGACCAAATACATTGCGATTGCCGTCTTCAGTTTCTTGACCACGAACTCCCAACGACCCGTTTCTTCTTTCTTGCATTCGACATGGTTCCCATTTGTGGCTCTGTGAAGCTTTGCTCTTTTTCTCGTGGGAACTCGACGCTTTGGATCATCTCGCCAGCGCGTTCCAATCCATCGAGCATTCCAAATCATACCGCAGGCCCAAGCAATGCGACTCCATGGGCGAAATGATATCTCGTTGATCTCCCCCAGTTTGATTTTCAAGTTCATCTCTTGCAAATATTCAACCTTTGTAATCGCTAATACGTTTCCCACATGCAGAACCTGGAACCAAAAAGCAGTTGGCGCCAGACGGTTCATTGTCAAGTCGGTGTATGGAAAGGACCAATGGATATGCATCGCAAGGCACAAGGCTAGGATGAACACTCCAATCCGGAGCTTCATTGCGGGCTTTGGTGCATATGCCAGGATCATCACCGTGGAAAGTTGTAGCACGAGGATATCGATCAATGCGATCCATGACAAAAGATTGGTGACGCGACGCGCCATTGCTGCTGCTACCCCTGGATAGAAGCACTGGCCTCACCGACCCTGTGAAAATTCAGATATTCTGGCGCAAAACTGACTGAGTTTGGAGGAGAGGTGTAGATATAAAAATAATGGGCGAAAAATGGGGTAATCAGTTTGAAACTGAATGAATGCTGGCACAAACGGGGCGTTGAATGTGTCAACATGCAGAATTGTATATTTGCTTTTTGATCTGCAAGATGGTGGCTTTTAGGGCTTTGTGTGCAGACACTCATCAGAAGCGAGATGTTTGGTAAGATTCTACAATACTTCGAGAAAGATTCCTTTTGGTTATCTAATGAATTGTGATAACCCCTTAGACTAGCGGCCGTTCCCCGTGCATTGGTCTATCGCATATACTAGAGAGAAAATCACCAATGCAGAATGATACATTTCCGAATGGACAAAGTAGAGGAAATCTAGGATCGGTGGTTTGAATGCAAGCCGTTTAATGATACTCTGGCCGCGACTCGTGACATGAAGCCCAAAGTGATATGGGCTTGACGCATATCACCCCTATATTGCCCATGATCAGGAGACAATAATCTAGCCTTTCTGCTTATTCCCTTCTCACCAAAAGCCCAACAAATTTTAACATTAGATAAATTCCGTCTAGGTCACGCATTGCTCTAGACAGAGTCAGAAACTGGTATAAGGCGATTATTTCAAGCCGGATCTTCAACTTCGAACAACATGGCTTAGAGCGTCAAGGAGCTGACATACCGGCTAAGAAAGCCTCCCTAGAGAATGTTTCAAATATGGCTCAAGGGTATATCTAGAAAAAATACATAAGGCCCAGCTTTGAAGGTGTGCAGGCCCTCTGCTTGGTACATTCTCTGCCAGTGGCTGGAAAGCAGATAGTTGCTGCAATGTCTTTTTATCACAGATGTCATCAAAAAAGGGGGAAAAAGGATATATTAGAAACTTGTTTAGAAAGGGGAAACAGGGAAGAGAAATTAAGAATGATTAACACTCCCTATCACCAGAGGGAAGGGATTAAAAGGATAAAAAGAACTATGAAGTATAGTAACAGGAAAGTACCCGTCCAAGGATCTGAGACGCTTGCTCAGGTGCGACACAGCAGGAATGGAAGATATTGTACATACAACAAGGCTCCGTCTGAGCCTGAAGGTGAAAGAGGGTTCTCCATTTATTTTGTCTCGACAGTTGCCCAGACCGAATCGAAAATCATAATACGTGCATCTCAACCAGTACCAAAACAGTAGGATCGACAACCGGACCCCGGATCGAAATAAAGAGGGTCGCTTCTTCCGTAAAAGCCAATTAATTCTGTGGTAAAATTTTCCGCAGCATTTAACTGCGCCCATATCTCGTTTTGCCGAAAGAGAAAGGAACATAACGATATTTAATCATGTGTTGAATTTGTCGTCGCACTGTTATAGGCTTTATCAGCAAAGCGCCCAATGCGTGTATCATCTCCATGCGGGATGCCGAGGTAAAACTTACTCGTCAAACTGAAGAGGACCAGCCAATAAACCACCAAGATTGGCCAGAAAACGGGAACATTGAAAATTTCCGACCACGAGCACAGAAAGGCGATAGTGATGGCTCTTGTCGCCGAATGCCAGAATTTGAACTCGGGTAATCGCCGGATGAAAGGGCGAAACTCGTCATCTTGTTTCGTCGGAAGTCCCTGGGTATCGCCATCTTCTAGACCTTCGTCCTGGGTAAGAGATGGGTCGAATTTCGGTTGGAGAAAAGCGAGGAAAAGATTAAGAAGGTAGATGCCTAAGGTATAAGCAACTGTGCCATCATATCCGCGATTAGCTAGAGTCACCACAGAACGAACGTCAGAGTTGCATACCGATATACCATCCTTGAGCGAGAACAATTCTCAAAAAGAACAAAATAAGAATGGCGCCTGTTCCTAACCATCGATAGAGAGTGAACGGCGTGGATGCATCGAGGTAGGCTTGATATTGCTGCCACGCAGAATTCCAATCAGCAAAGTTCAACCAAGCAGCAAAGCTGCGCCAAAGCACACTGTTCCAAGGAAATAAAAGCTCCTTTGTCAAGGAAAAGGCTTACCCTTGTGAGCTTCGATGTTTGAGCCGTCACTGCGGTAAAGGGAGTTTGCTCCGGTTCTGGCACATCCATGGCGCAACACTTAAAATGAATGCTCAAGCAAATCCACCTTGCTGACCAGACCACAAAAGCGACTAGCAGAAAGATGCGAAGATAAGAAGAGGAAATACGGACGAAGGAATTCAAATTAAAATAGTATCAATGCGAAGATTGAAGGAAACGAAGAACGTCGTTAGACTTGGCTATTTGTCCCTGAAAGGCTGAAAGCGATAATTTCATGGTTCCTGAATGGTTACATAATACATTACGAGCATGAGCCACGTACGCCCAAAAGCTAACCCGATACGGTCTAGTGTTTCAGTGTGGCTTGATTATATAATGTGTGGCTGGAACAAGTCCCGTGACAGTGCCAAGTCGCGGTTGGCCTCGGATATCCGCAGCGCCGAAACAAGTGTTGCCGACAAGCTGTTTGGATTATTGTTGACAGCATCAATTGCCTGTGTTTCTATCCGCCAATTTATACCCAAGGCTACAATTCTATATTACAATGTTTTCAAGACGATGTGCGAGGCTTGTTGCCTCTCGAACCTCCGCTCCATTGACGTCATATCTCGCCAATGCGAGGTTCTCTTCCACAGCTTCCCCTGCTTCAGCAGCTTACGAGTATATATTGGCATCGACCCCGAAGCCAGGAGTTGGACTGAGTACGTGATCCTTTTTTTTACGCAGACTTATGTGGCCTGGTTGCGTTCTGACATTTTTTTTAAGTCACCCTTAATCGACCGAAGGCTTTAAACGCTCTCTGCAGCCCTCTTTTCCGTGAGCTCAATGATGCACTAACAAAATACGATGAGGATAAAGATATTGGTGCCATTATCATCACTGGTAGCGAGAAGGCCTTTGCTGGTACTTGCCCATGTCTAAAGATTGGACGAAAGAGTTCTGTGTCTAACCGGTTGTAGCTGGCGCTGATATCAAAGAGATGGCGCCCCTAACATTCGCTGCTGCATACTCGAACAATTTTATTGCGTCCTGGTCCCATTTAGCTAACACAATCCGCACTCCTGTCATTGCAGCAGTCTCCGGATATGCCCTCGGTGGTGGATGCGAACTCGCCCTAATGTGTGATATGATCTACTGCACATCAAAAGCGACCTTCGGTCAACCGGAGATTAAATTAGGCACCATCCCTGGTGCCGGTGGCTCTCAGCGTTTAACGAAGATAGTTGGGAAGAGCAAGGCCATGGAATTAATCTTAACGGGAAACACTTTTAGCGGAAAGGAGGCTGGAGAATGGGGAGTCGCGGCCAAGGTAGTTGACGGCGGGAAGGATGAACTGCTCGCTGCTGCTCTAGACACTGCCAGCACTATTGCCAATTATAGTCGTGTCGCGGTGGTTGCTGCAAAGGAAGTTGTCAACAAGAGCCAGGAGCTGTCGTTGGCAGAGGGCGTTGACTTCGAGAGGCGCCTTTTCCACGGTTTATTTGGTAGCAAAGACCAAAAAATAGGTATGTGGCCGTACAATACGTTTACGACCATGGTTTACTAAAGATTTTATAGGAATGACTGCATTTGCTGAGAAGAAGAAGCCGGAGTGGTCGAACGAATAATCTCTGATAACTCGTTTTGGCAGATATCCTTCGCAACTGTACATAACAATGCTTCTTGAATTCCAGGCAACTCTAGTGAAAAATGGAACAGTATGACCATTTAGATACTAGTTTCGGGCTGCACCTCAAGCCACTTTTAATCTCCATTTGATGATTACCAGACGGCTACAATACGGTTAGGCGACTGAAAATAGCCCAACCGACAACAACAATAGATCCCATATCTTCTGGGGAAGACATAGCCTTATTTATCACGTCCAAGCTTCCCTTCCGCAGTCCTCTGCGCTCTTTCTCCAATACTACTAACGATACCAAGAATACCGCCTGCGAAACATGTAAGTATAACCGTCCTCTCGCAAAATGGGGGTTACCCACTGGGCTTGCGCTCTTCCTCGGCCTGCTGTTGCTGCCCCTTCAGGCGTTGAGTGCTATGCACCCCCTGAGGTTCTTGCTCATCATATTCACCGATATTCGAGGCCGCCTGCGGTTCCTGTCCGCTCATGCCTTGCTGTCCGTACGCACCCTGCGTGCTGCCTGCCTGAGGATAAGCCTCCGTGGCTTCGCCTTGATATCTTCCTCCCCAACCTTCCCCCTGAGCGCCGCCGCTTCCACCCAACATGGAAGCTCGTTGCTGGCCATATTCCGAACCGTATGCGCCGGAAGATCTCTGTGGTGGAGCCATGGGGTCATGGCCAATGCCCTCATCGGCGTTGTAGTCCTGTTGGGTCCCGCTTTGCATCTGATTTTGCCAGCTGGCTTGGTCACGACGACCGCTCGGATCCCATGTGGTATCTCTCGACCCGGCCATGAATACAGTGATGGGGGATTTTATTGTAAAAAAGAGATATTGTCCGGTAAGATCTATTTCAATGCAGTATACGGAGGCTCTCTAACCTGGGGGCTATGGCCATTCTTATGTCCCCGCCAGCGAGCTGGCTCGTCCGCAGAACAGTGTCAATGGCGAAGAGTGATATCATGGTTCGCCGGTTTTGATTCTGGAGTCAAAATGCCATTTTGTTTGAAACCGGCTCGTTTGGAAAATATGTGGGCAACGGCGAAGAATTATTATTAATCTCGAATTAATCCTGATAAGTATCCAATGGCAAGACCCCTCAAGCTGCCTCTTCCAGGCTGCCTTTGATTGTAAGAAAAGCGTTGATGAAAGTCAAAATTGCTAGTTAACTACTCGTATCTTGCACTCTTCAAAGCACCCCTGACTTGGTTGATATTGATCGAGAGCGGCCCAATCTCAGATGAAATTTGTAGACGTCAGAGGCGTTTTGATACCATTGAACAATGATGGCCTTGCGCCTCCAGAATGATGCGCAACTTTGGGGGATGTTTGCCAGCGGCACTTGGAGATTAAATAGAGGTAGGGTGAAAGACACTGATGACGGATACAGTGGGAATGAAGTTTGTGCGGAACGAATGAAAGTTTGGAGATAATCCTCCGTCAAAAATATGTTAAGGGATGGTCGATTTCTAGGCTTTCTATCTAGAATACCACCTCGGTTGCGTATTCGATAGTACCAGCTGTCTATGTAGGAGCTTCGAGTTCAGATGTCGGTTTATATACAAAGGTTTTGCTGCGATTGAGACATTTATTTCGCCAAAAATGAGGCGTGATTGGGTTGTCCCTATCTTCAACCAGTATCGACAGCTGTGCATCAGCATCAATAAAAACACTGCTCCTTGAAAGGATGGGAGTGCGGACTAGTTAATCCGATTTGCCTTGAGGCTGCCGAACCATTGCTACACTTCTTGCCACGGTTTTCCCACCATATTTAGTCAAATCCATGTCGAATATCTCAACGTCTTCGAACCCGAATTTCTTGTATAGCGGATATCCGGCGGCGGAAGCTTCAAGCCACGCAGGGATGTTGTGCTTGTCCGCAACGGCTAGGCCCTCTTTCAATAGTAATGATCCAATGCCACGACCTTGATATTCTGGGTGCGTGACAAGGGAGGCAAGGACTTGTAGAAAACGAAGATGTTAGAACGAGATTTCGGACCTGCAAGAAAGGGCTGAACGTACGAAGATGCTTCTGACCACCCATCCTTCTCTTCCTTACACCATACAGCCAGCCAAAGAATTCACCATACGCTTCCGGGTTCGCTGCGTTCTCCATCCTCGCCTTCTTCTTCTCCTCTGGCTCTCCCTTCAAATGCCAGTCCGGATCAAGGTTGAGTACCCACTGAGCCTGCGCTACATGCTTTCCGTCCACCATTACTTTGGTATATGTCACTGCAGGGTCTTGCAATGAATTTCTGATTTGTTCCAAACGAAGTGAGTTGCTGGCTGGATTGTGGCCGTCGAAGACGATCTGAGCAAGCTCCTCCGCTCCAAAAGCGAGCGTGTCTAGCTCATGAATCACGGCGGCGTCGGATACTTCAGCGGGGAGAAGCTGGTATTGGGAGGAAGGTAACGAGGCCATTTTCGCTGCAATGCATATAAAGTAAGCTGGATCGGTTCAAAGTGGACATTCACCTTTCCCGCTGTGACTGAGGGGCTGGATAGCGTTTTAAGTAGTTAATCGCATGTTGAGAATTTCCCAACTACCTACCCCGCCGAGCAACGGCGATTCCGTCGACCCTCGCCAACGACCTTTGAACGCGAGCTGAGCCCACTTGCGCTGGTTGACAATCCGAGAGAGAATGTTCAAGATGGTGCGCCTGGTTACATGTGGTTGGGGTAAGCTCATCGGAGGACTAATCGGGTTCACCGATGTCTCCATCGGATGCGAGGCAACTAGGCAAGAAAGGGACGCCGCAGCTACCGGGGTGTTGAATCAGGATACATGCCCCGGAATCCCGGATGCCATTTGTGCTCGTTGTGGCCCGATTGGATGCTACACTCTATCTTCTTCTCACGGGACTAGTTATGTGATAGACGGCCCAGTTATATAAAGGAATACTCGGTTTAGTCGACAGCGAAGTCCACCTCGCCGCTCTCACCAACGCGATTAACTAAGTTAACTACCTGCAAGCCCTCCTAAAATAGTGTGCATCAATGGGCAATGTTAACCACAATATTTCGTTGAATTTGCAGAAATTTTGATTGGAGTTAGAGCTCTAAATAACAGGATTTTCTAAGATAAATCCTTCTTTTCTCGTTTGATATATCTGGAAATAAACCCGCGGCCAGTTTTCGTGAGCCCAGCAAGTTTCATCTGGAAGAAGAAGGAAAGGTTTAGCCCTAGAGCATGATAATAATATCCAGTTAAATACGCTGGCAGACTCCAGGTTAGCTCAAGCAAATGAGACTCAGGGTACAGCAGATCGCTTTCGGTTCTCAAGAGGCTCCGGTCACGAAAACGTAGTAAACTCTCCAAGTGATTTTGGCGGAGGAGCAGAGAGTTGAAATTCAAATCTGAAGGTCAACGACGCTGCTGGAAGAGTCGCTCACAGTTCTTTCGCGTGTCAACGGCATGCTCGACTCAGTGGAAATTGGGCTCAGTTCAGTGATTTTCGTGACGATCCATGTTGAGGCATACATGTTCACCCTGCATCCTGATTGTTAGAATACTCCTTTCATCAGCGGCAGAAAGCAGACTCACCGATCGATACAACATCCTGGAAATCTGGCCCCCACACGGCGAGCCGAAAAGCCATGAGATTCAAAGGTCTTAATATACCAAGGCTGAATTGACGCAGATCGTAATAGAATACGGCCATCCATTTTGAGAACGTGGTTAAAGGCTCTTGCCTGTGTGGCTGCTGCGGTGCCCTCTGGGTCAAACCAATCCATCGAATCCATGATCTAGTGCTAAGTCAGGAGATTTAGTTCGTCAAAGAAAAGGAATATGCGCCCTTACCACTGCGATGGTCAGAGTCCCCGGCGTTATCCTTGCGATGACCTCGTTGATTTCATCCGTGTGTATGCGTAGGCCGTCAAAAGCCCCTGGAGTAGAAAGCTTCACATGAGCTTTAGGCGTCAAGTAACTTGGATGACACCTGAGCTTGTTAGTAGGATGTTTTCAGTGAGAAAGGGGGGATGCATACCTTCTTGAATACTTGCCCTGAAGGCACAGAAAATAGAAGTAATTGTCATTGCTCAGCAAGGTGTCATTGACAACGGGATCAAGAGTATCGACAACATATTGCCATATCGCCTCACCGCTGACATCTGATGGCTTTTTCACTCCGCCAGAGAGACCATGTCTTACCATAAAATCGGTGATTATCATATTCCTCTGTGGCGGGGGAACCCCTGCAGCTTTCCAAGCAAACCATTCGGTTCCGACAACAGCCCAATGCAAAGCCTTGCTAAGTAGAATCTTCCGAATCCCCGGCCATATTTCGCGTTGTTCATCTAGGGTCTGTGCCTCGCAAAGTCGTTTGATCTCTGTGTCCAATCCAAAAATTTTGGAGAGATAACGGACCATCTTGAGAGCATGACGTGATCCGCCAGTTTCATATAAGCCTTTTCCAGAGGTGGAAGTAAAAATGTCACTGTGATCTAGCCAGAATTGAAAAGCTTGGCTGGAGAGATGGGGGCTGAGTTTCGAAAGTAGAAGCTCTCTAAACTGAGGGTGTTTTCCTTCCCCAAACATTTTCCAGACATCAAGGTAGCTCAAGGCTGTGAAACTTGCAACCTTGAGCTCCAGTAAATGGTTCTGGTTTGGATTGAGATCGACGGCATGGATTTTCCGCGGACTGTACTGCAAGTAGTCAAGAATGTTGTCCCCGGCGCTTGATATTGCCAGAATCACATCCTCGTTATTGATACTCAAGAGTTGATGGTCAACACGAGGGTCTTCCCATGTGAACGCATAGATATATTCGTTATTGAATTGAGTGTGCTTAGGATGGAGTTCGTCGTACCATATTCTCCAATAGTGATGTTGGTAGAAGGTTGAAGGCAGCGGTAAGTTAGAGCTTAGATTGACGATCGCAGCTTCGTATGCCTTGGATCTTATTTCAGAACCGCTTTGCGCCACTGCTTTGGATAATTGTCGACGGTGATTCGCTGGTGAAAGGTAGGGAGATTCTGTGAAAGCAGCATCCAGCCTAGCCAAAACCTCGCGGTTCCCTGGATTTTCTTTAGGGCACCCAAGGAAGATGTAGTACGGAATACCACCCAGAAAATAGTTCCTCTGGCTTGAGGATATAATTGTTCCAAACCGGTATTCGAGATAGTCACGGCGTGCTGGCTCCAGCCCAACACGGTCGACATCAAACCAAGCCCGCCAGAATACTCTTCCGAGCCAATTGACGTGGCGATTGAATGCACCTCCGGTATAATTTCGAGCCGCCACATCAACTATGCTTTGTACTTCGCAATCATTAGGTGGGGGCGTCGCAAGTAGCGAAGGAGGTCTCACCATAGAAATCGCAGACGCCCAAAATTCCTGAAGGACTTAGCAATGAGACCAATGAATCGACAACGCTGTAATAATCTAATGAGGGCCTAATGTTTAGAAAACGTTCTCGCCATTTCGATTGGCGTTCTGAAAACGCACCAGGAATCATTGACAAGCTGTAACTCATAGTTACCAGATCGGCCTGCTCAGTAGTTGACAGATTTTTGTTGCCATTTCTAACGTTAGGCAGACGGAACTCTCGTGCATCCTGGCAGACCACGGATACGTTTTTCCAACCCAGCCGGGAGAACCTTTGCCGCGCAACTTCACACAAGGACGGGGATAGGTCGACTAAATATATATGGCTGAAAAAAGTATCAACCGGTACGAATGAAGCCATGGCCTCGATGTTGTACCTAATGGCGGAAATCGTTAAATAGGCTCTCGATGTTAGGCTACTTTAAGCATACCCAGTTCCGCCGCCGATCTATTTTCATCGTGATAAGTAAATAGAACTTTTTCTGGCGCGAGTTTGAAATGGTGTAACTTACATCCACCCAGATCAGGCCTCTTCGACGGTGAGCCTGGCCTTTTTGGAACTCCAACTGAGCGGCTAGCAGGCTGAGCATGGACTCTCTCCCCTTAAGGAGTCGTTTGCGAGTCGCATCATAGACACTGGCCTGAATAGATGTTAAGCGCGTTTCCAACTTCCCCATCCTGGTTTACGCTCCGGCGTACCTGCGTTGAATAGAAGCTTTCCAATGCATGTTTCTGACCTCTGCCCTCCTGAAGGTTGAACGGTTTGATGAAATTGGCATAAAAAAAGGTGGCATACGACAGTAAGCTGCTATTGGGATCTACCTTCAAGGGACGGAGCCGAAGGACGAATATCAGTAGAACAAAACCCAGGAACAAGAAACACGAGCCAGCAAGCTTGACGTATAAAATATCAGGGCCGCGCAGGCCTGATACGCCAGCCAATCCGTCGATGATGGACATGACCGTCACTGGAGCAGACCAGACAGGATGTCAAGGCCGGACTGATTGCCAACAGAGATACCAGGAAAGCTTGCAGGACAAAAGTCACAAAAAAGCGACAGCGGGTTGAGGAGTAGCATCCAAATTATGTATTTGGTAATGGAGTACGATAACCCCAGGAGCCCACGCCCGCTTCCGAGACAACGTGAAGCTGCATCGCAGCTTGATCCTATCAAGTCAACACATGGTCGGCCCTGGCAAAGTTAAGACGGATCTGCATATTGTTTTTCTGCGCGGGCCATCAAAAGCTTCTCTGTTGGCCTCGGTGGCCGGGTCAGGCTGTGTACGGACGCACGTCAGGAAGCTTGAAGCCCAACATGATGAACCAACCACAACCCGACTTATGACAGGAAACCCAGAATCAGTCAGAGTCGCCGGACGCCCCATGTGCTGACTGCAATATTAAATGTCTTTGTGCTGTGTGACGGCCAGGAACACCTTCTCTCGCGGTTGAGCAGCGAGGTCGGCCTGCACACTTGCAGCTCTCTGGTTGGCAGGCGGGCAGCGTGGAGGGATCTGGGCAGCGGGAGGGGTCGCGGCCAATCGGGGGCCCTAGCGAGCGCACTCCCATCGCTCCAGTTCCGGTCAATGACAATGGCGAGAACGCCATCTGATGGGAGCCGGAGGGGTTTAAAGGAAACCAATCATAAAGATTGACTCCTCGTCGCCAATCAACCGAGCATTCGAACTCAATTGCAAAGTATTGCACCTGCTATCTCGGCGGAGAATTCTGCGCAGTGGGACGAGCAATTATATATATCTGTACTCGCCAGACGGTACGCTGGGACTTTGCCGGAGTAATAATTGCATTATTATTCAGCGAATCGCCCTTTAGGACGCCTTAAGGCCCTTTTCCCTTTCTACGAGGGCTATCATCCGAAAGAGGAAGTGAAATGTGGGCAGCATGATCTAGTCTGCAAATGCCAATCTTGAGAATGATTAAGACGCCGCCTTGCATGATACGATTCCCTTTGATGATCCAGTGATAGTGGCACTTGAAAGCCTCTGTGCATGAGCTACCTAGCATGACTCAAAGACTTAAAATTCAAGCTCGTCAATCCTGTTTATCGATGTTCAAATGCGTGCCATCTTCGGATCCACCAAGCGTTTATGGTGGCTCCTTGGTCGGGTTTTCATCCTGTGTGGGAGGTGCGCTGCCCCTCAGTGAACCTGGTGCATCATTGACATGGGCTGGATTATAACCTCCTGGCTTAGACGGTCTGATGGTAACAATGATGCCATCTGACGCGCAGGTAATTATTGCTTCGATTTCCATACTTGCTGAAACTCTCTTTGCCAATGTTGTATTAAGCGGCCCATAAAAATTGTCTATCGGGAAGTTGGGAGGGCCCAAAACACGATTATCGTTGATTTTGGATGGCCAGTATTTCGCAAGCTTGTGTTCCTCTTGACAATCTCTTTCATTCAGGAATTCATCCACCTTTTCGATCACCCCGAGCTCGTCGTATTCTTCAAATCGACCTCGTAACGGAACGCGCAAATATGCGGTTGTATCGTTCGACTTGCTGTTCTCCAAGCATCGAACCGTTTGGGCCAAATAACTCTCGTCTATGAGAGAATAGAAGCTCCTTGAAACAAGCCAATCTGGGGCTAACCCCAGAACCGCTGTGGCGTTGCTGGTCGCGAAAACGATAGTAGAGGACCGGGTGAATCGATTTAAAACCAAGGCCGCGCGCGGTTCAACCGTGGGAACGCTTGAAAATCGCAAGAGTTTGTTGGAGAGGGAGTGGGCCTGATGGTAACGTGGCTCATACGGCAGAGGGCAAAACAGCTTCCGAACCGAGGAGGCGGCAGCAGCACGTTCTTATATGAAACGGAGCTTGGTTAGCCGCTGATATCTAAGATCGAACCGTCTCAACCGCTTACTTTTACATTGTGATCCTCCCTGGCAAACCATGGTTCTCGCAAAAATAGTGTTGCATACCACGGTAAATATGCATTCGCAAGAAACCCAACGGCCGTCTTTGTGCCTCGCTCGAAAGTGATTCAAAGATGCAACCCTACCCTGTTGGACTGCGCGTCCGTAGAATCCCTTTGCGGCGATAACCTCGTCCGGATACAGATAGTCCCATATCGACCGGTTAGTAACTTCATGCGGCTCATATCCAAGGAGCTCGTCGATCGAGTCGGAAGCATATCGTATTCGACATTCTTGGGAAGAATCTGCCGCTTGGTTTGCTGGTTAGTGAGTAGTCACTTGATGTAGAATAGTTCTAGCGCCGAGAGTCAACTTGCCGTGTATGGTGATGAATGCGACCTCCATCGTCGAAATAATAATCCAGCAATCGCTCGACCAAACCTGGTTATCTTAACCTCGAGCCAGACAACCACGGCGGTTTCTTCAAGCACTCAGAGAATCCACGAAGCTGGCATAGACATGGATCTATCAGTCGCTGCGATGAACCCCATTTGAAGTCCCGCTTCAGGCTTTTTAAAGGCCCAAAGTCACTGACGACAGGTAAGCCCCTAATATACATCTTCTTGCCCTTTAGACAAGGCAAAGTCCTTTTTCTCGTTGACATTTGGGAGAATTGAGAGGTGAACGTCAGGAATGATGATTCCACATCATCCAGGGTCTTCGCCAGTGTCAGCACTAACTCGTTATTTGACAGGTCGTTCGCTATATTACGTACCTTTGGTCGTGGATCAAGGCTTGAAGTGCCCCGGCGGACTTTCGCTTGTCCTTGCTGACCGTGCCAATGGGAACCAGGGGAGTGCCCTTCTATCAAGGCTAAGCTTCAATAGCGCTCAAAGGTCGTCGTGAGGAACTCGCAAATCTCGACTTGATGTCGCTTTTATCCCGCTAGCGTAAATAGTGGTGGGAGATCAACCCGACAAACTTGATCGAGAATTTCCACACCGTGCTTCGTATCCATAAATTCGGTAAATGGGAGGATAAATCGCATCTTCGCTTCAGGTCGACAAAGTAGCTAGTAGTGAGAGGGCCGGCTGAACGCTGATCCTCCGTTGTGAATTCAATAACTAGAGAGGTCCTGAAGATCCAAAGTGGCTTCCGAGAGTAATGTGTAGTTACGGAGTACATATGCCCAAGATCAAGGGACTTAATTATCCCATACAAGAATCACCATTGAACTATTGATTTTGATCTATCTAGCTAATAAATTGATCAACTAAATTCCCCTAGTTAAATTGCTTTGTTGATAGATTTGCTGATGATTTTGTTCGTAGATCCTTTCCTGGGTTCTATGTAGAGAGTGACAAAACAGAGTATGCTCATTGAACTGATTCCGAGGACTCTAGGCTATGGTTAACTACTGTGCCCCCAAGAACGTCCCACCAGTGTGCACATATGAGTAATAGCTGAGACAGTTGATACTCTGCACATGTAAGATAAAGTCTATTGATTGTAATCTAAAGGTGGGATAAAAAATAACCTATATTCCAGAACTCTCCGATATATGTATATCCCTCCCGAAATAGCGCCATTTGCAGCAAAATAGACCCTTGTTGTATTGAGAATTCGCCTGGTACGGAGTACAAAACCTCTCCAAAAAGTAAACAAAAACTGCCTTAAAACCAAGGCGGAAGCATGGTATGCAATTGATCAGTGGGATGGCCGCGATCGCAAAATCGTAACATCGTCAGAAATTGGTTTATAGAAAATGATATAGCCCCATTCGAGATCTATACCTAAATTCGAACCCTCCAGTGTGTTTAAGAAACGACGCGCTAAGCTTTCGTTAGCGGCGAATACGAAGCAGAACTTGCCTGGGCTGTAGTTGAAGATGATGTAATGGTGTGCCAACAGCCCCAAAAGAAGCCAGGGTCGGTGCAGGTGGCTTCTCTTGAAGAATTGGAGGATCTTGTTGAAGTTGTTGCAGTAGAAGGAGGATCATTGCACCCGCCAAACCACCCGGGACTTTGACAAGTCGTGGTTCCTGAAGCAGACGTGCTTGGGGCGGAGGTGATGGTTGCAGTTGGAGTAGGTGTGGCCGAAGGATTGGAAGACGTGGTTGTGGGGTCTTTACAGCCGAACCATCCTGGTGTTTTGCAAGTGCTGGTGGTAGTGGTGGTCGTTGACGTATCTGTAGTCAAGGTAGGAGTCGTTGTTGTCGTTTTATCAAGACATCCCCACCACCCAGGTGTTTGGCAAGTTGATGTCCGCGTTCGTATTGGCGTCGTCGTTGAACTGCTGGATGAAGTCGGATGTGAGCCATTGTCCTTGAAAAATTTCCATAAGGAACAGTCGCGACAGGCTGTATCCGGAGCACAGATTGGCACGGTATCATATTTCTCAATGACGTCGTTAATCACGTTAAGAATTCTGTGTGTTCCGATGCCCACACGCCACCCTAGATCTTCAACCGTGTCATATACACATCTCTGCCCAGTATGGCAGGCTGATTCCATGGCGTATCCCGCCAGGGTACAAAAGGAAGTTGCTCCGTTACAGCTGCCCATGTATACTGGATCGGCAGTATGGCCAAAGTGGTAAGCACCGGTATATTTGCGCATCTGAGGGGTAGCAGGATCAGTTCCTGGAGGGACTGGAAGACCCAGCCGAGAAGCGGGCAACGCTTCGGGAACTCCCTCGAACGTTACAACCGGCAGCCCGTAGGTTAAACCTAAGAGACTCGATACCGCACCTCCAAGGGAATGGCCAGCGAGCCATATGGTTGAATTGGGGTAGATTTCCGTCACATTGGCATACAGGTCGAGGGAAGCCCGATAGTAACGATTCTCGTTAACAAGGGCGGAAACCAGACAAGTTGAATTGCAGGTATATGTGGATGAGTAACAGTCGCAAACCTGACGCCAGAAATACTGCCCTCCCTGGCCGCAACAACAGCTGAAAAATAAATTATCATTGATTTTGTCATTGGTTGTGGTTTCTTCACCGTCAAATAAGGCAGCAGAGGTCCCCTTAAGGGCAATAACAACCGTTGAGTTGGCCTGGTCGGTGTAAATATGGCCACGTAGACCGTCCGTTTCCCATCCGAAACTGAGCGACTGGTTGAAGGGTCCGGAGACGTCCTTCCACTTTTTCCGTATTTGGCTCCATGATGTATGCATTCGCTGTCATC